TTAACTGGAGACAGAGGTAATGCAAGGAAGAGGGCAAATCACCATGCACCCATCCACTCCATCCAACCACGCAGACTCCCCCCAGCAGCACCACCTTCTCACTGCTGTTCAGCCTTTCTGTCTCCCCTCACCTGTGGCTCACTTCATTCTCAATGTGTTTTCTCTCTGGCAGTACTATAAGCAGAGACTCACACTCCCTGACACAGGGTCTGTCAAATAGTGAGCTTGGTGGCGGTGATAATAAATAATTATGAAGAACAGTGTCTGTTATGTGCAGGTTTAATGTGAGAACTTTGGGCCTTTTTTTTTTTTTAATCATCTGACAAATGGAGACACACAGGGCTGGGGATGTGGCTCAAGCGGTAGCGCGCTTCCCCTGGCATGCGTGCTGCCCGGGTTCGATCCTCAGCACCACATACCAACAAAAATGTTGTGTCCACCGAGAACTAAAAAATTTTTAAAAATTTAAAAAATGGCTTTGACCTTGGCTGAGTCTGACCCCTATGTTCCCTCCCACTGAGCAGGGCAAGGACCCTTCTATCCTGGCTGGGAGGGTACAGAGTTGCCATATAGCTGCTGGGACAGGAGCCAGGGACTGACTTTAAGGAGACCTCAGAACAGACTTGATCTTGGCTCAGTGGTGGGAAGAATCTAACAAGCAGAAGTGGGAAGACTCCTCAGGAAGAGGGGGACATGGTGGTCTTTAAGGAACCACTAATCTTGAGCACTCGTGGGGGAATCTACAGAGGTATCAAAGGGGATGAGATTGTTGAAGAAAGTGCCCCAGCCACTCAAAGAAAAGGAGGGAAGCCAGAGGAAAAAAGAAAGCCAATTTCAGTGGGATGGGTGCTTCTGAGGATCTGAAAGGACAGGGTAGAAGCAGTGAGAGTGATCTTCAGGGAGAAGAGCATTAAATATCAAAAGTAGCAAGAATGTTCCCGGGCATGGACAGGGGCAGGGGGCTGCTGAGGACTGCAGAAAATGGCAGAAGGAGCTGAATCACCATCAGGCATGGGCACGGATTCCTTCGTTCATTCTCCATTTACTGAGCAGCCATCAGCAGCCTGGCAGGAGACCAGCAGCTGCGGGGGAGGCGCAGGACTGAGCAGGATGAACAGTGTCTTCCCTCTAGAGATGCACAGTGTAATCCTCAGGACCAGATAAAAAAGCAAGTGGCTGAAAAGGTTGAACAAATGCAAGGTTAAGTGCTGAAAGCAAGATAAGGGCATAAGAACTGGCAGGGAAAGGCCCAGTCCTCCCTCCACCAGGCACCAGGGACACAGGGCCAGCCGCCTAAGGAGAGGCACAGCGGACCCACAGAAAGCCAGCCATCAAGGGAGATTGAAAACTGCTCTCTACCTACCTGGGAAAAGGTGATAAAGGAATGTGCTCCTTCATTAGGCAGAAAGAAAGCACAGGTAAGGAGGCAGTGTGCGTACCTGGTATGTTCTGTGCAGCCCATGGGCCTGTAGATGCAGGTGAAGTACATGTGGGCACTGGGTGCCTCTGCCCCTGGGTGAACCCGCTTCAGGCTGTGTCAGGGGTATGCACCTGTATTTTTGCATGGGTGTGAACATGCAATTTAGTCCCAGTTCTCTTATCTCCTTTCTGTGTGTTCAGTCTCCCTCACACTCTTGGGGACAAAACAACTTGCATTCTAGATTTGAAAGGGATGTAGTGGTCGCTGAGAACAGCAGGATAAAAAAATAAGCCCCTGCTCCCTCAGTTGGAGAGCTGCTTCCCCTCACTGGGCCCCAGCTTCCTTACCTGTAGAACAAAGGCATTGAGACAGCACCTTTCAACCCAGACTGCACATCACAGGATCCAATGAAAGGTTTTAAAAAAGAGGTGCCCGGGGACTATCAAATCTCAGTCCTGGAGGGACAGACTTCCAACAAAGTTCCCCAAGGGCTTCTGCAACCCAGTCTTACTAAGGAAAATAAAGGTGACCTAGCTCAGATTCTTCTCTCCCAATTATCTGGACATGTTGGCAAGTTTGGGTGCAGTCTTGATGGAGCACACAGGTAGGCTTATCAAACCATAGCCAGGGTGCCCCTTGAAGATGGCCAATGTGAGGACTGAAGGACACCAGATGCTAGGTTCCTCAGGGATTCTAGAGGAAAACTGACCAGCTGAAATTGGCAGGGATAAATGAGCTGGGCTCTGATGCAACTAGCACAATCAATAGAAATAGTAAACTTGTAACAGAGGTGCTTCTCTGGGGTGGGGCATTGGATGACTGGAAAACTGCATTTCCCTGCAACTTGTGTATATGCCTTTTGAATGCTACATCATGTGAAAGTATAAACTAGTTGGAAATAAAAATCATTGGCAGAAGTACAAGACTGAGAAGGACCAACTCAATGTGATGGAGTGGATGTACCCAGGGTCTTAGCTGACCATAAGTATCACCTGTGGTGGCTGTTAGTGTTAGCGTGAATTCAGTTTCAGAGGTGGAAAGATGGCATGGTGTTTTATGTTTTGTGGTGCTAGAGATCAAATCCAGGACCTCCCACATGCTAGGTAGGCACTCTATCACTGAGCTACAACCCCAGCCCCTGGGGCGGCATATTTTTTCAAAGTGGGGCTGTCCCTCTGTGGTTGGTACAGTTCACTCCTTGTCTGGATCATTGGATCCTGGGTACAGCACTACTTTTTAAGCAAGGTCTGGATTATCAGAAAGGAGAAACTGGGATGGGGAAGGGTCAGGAGACTGCAGTAGGGCTAAGGAAAGAGATACCAAACCAGGTAGAGAGAAGACTGAGATGCCATCCTGTCTCCAAGTTTCTTTATTGGTTATAGGGAGAAGATAAGCTGTGAGCACTGAAGAAAGGCACTTTGGGGGGTTAAGGAAAAACTTCTAACCTTTAAGACTTATTTATGGCAGAAGACCACTCCTCTGCCAAAGATGGAACTATGAGGGGATTCCAACACCCCCAGCATGCTGAACCTAACAAACTCTAGGAGGGGAATACTGATTTGTAGGAATACCCTAGATCTCCCATATACACTAGGCCTCATTGTAAAGCTTTTGTCCCTTGGGAGGTCATCCTGCCATCACCTCCTAGTGCTGTCAACTTAGAAGTGGTGGGGTTAGTGTGGGTCGGGGAGGAGAGCTGGTAACACAGGGTTACAGAGAATCAGATCAGTACCTGGGTTTGGAGGGAGTTTGTAAGCCCAATAGGTTTCCTCCTTTTTTCTCCCATTAAAGTACTATCCAGGCCCAACCCTGTTTAGTGTCTGAGAACAGATGTAAACCTTCTGACTTTTCCTAAACCAATTTTTACTGAGCCCTGTTGTGTCTCCATGAGGAGCTGCACTGGAATGAACAAGAGGGCAGCTCAAGGTCTACATTACAGTGGGAGAAGTAAACCTACAAGAAAAATGTCAGAAAGGCTAATCCTAGAGCCTTAAGCAGATGCACCGCAGGGCATAGAGGACTACTCTAGAAGGGGATTGGGAAATCGAGGAGGTGACATCTAAATCCCAAGTTATTCCATCACAAACCACACACTCACTTTGTCTTGATCATCTGGCCAACAGCATTTGCTGTGGAGTTCACCTGAGAAAGTCAGGGACCCCCATGGAAAGCAACATTCCGTAAGAGAGTAAAAACTCAGCGGGCAGTGAGTTAAGTACTGGGGAGTACACTCCAGAGTCCTTAACTCATGATGTGTTAGCCACGAAAAGAACTCTGCTTTCCCCACCCTCTAACTCTGTCTCATCTTCCTCAAAGCACATTAATTACACCCTCACCATGCATGACAAGAACAAACAACATAAAGGATAAAACTGTCAAGTCAGGGAAACAGCAAATTCCCAGGACCCTCAACTTGTTACTCCATGATGTGTGTGAATTCTTCCACTCCCCACTCATGTGTCTCTCAACAATCACAGCTACTCAACCTCATCACAGGCAAAGATGTTCATGCAGGACTCAGCATCCATATGATATATGAGAAATGCGACATTGGTTCCAGGATGGCGGCTGACTACCCCTCCCTCAAAATTGAATTGTTCGTCCAGGAAAAAAAAAAAAACCTTTTGAAATGCACCATTAACATTCCTAAACTCCAACCCACCCCTACAACCTTTTCACGTGAATAAAACTAGCTCCATGTTCTGAGAGCCAGCTGGACACTCTCTTGGCCAGTGCTGCTTCTCCCTTCTGCTGGAGCAAGAAGTCCCAATAGTCTTGCTCCAGCCACAGCTATGCCTTTATCAAAGTCTTCCAGTATTCTGCTGGAGAGCACGAGAACCTGCCAAGCCAGTAACATACCCACGGGGGCACGAGTCTTGGCTCCACCTATGCCCGCCAGTCCATTTGCCACCCCTGTCTCCCTTAAGGCAGGAAGCTTGCGTCCCTTTCCCCAAGAAGCAGCCCTTCAGTTACCTACAAGAACGTGGACAGTTCCGAAAGTGGGATAGGGACTGGGGCACATCTCTAAGTATAAATGAACATCTCGAACCTGTGAGATGGGGATAACAGCAGCACCCACTACAACGGGTCTTTGTGAACGTCGGGGTCATACATTTAAGGTACCAAAGCGCCCGACACATTACGCGCCCAGGAAGTGGCAAATGCTTCAGTAGTGGACTACCCCTTCGGACTCTTGGGGGTCGGGTCTTCTCCCAGTGTCTCAGTTTCTCCGTCAGTCTCTCAGGCCGCCGCGCTAAGTGCATTCGGTTTACCAACTCCCGAGCACCTCCACCCGAGCACACCCGCTGCCTCCGGCGTTTCACAGCCTCACAGACGCGGAACCTCGCTGACGGCCGCTGCCAACCTGCGCCGCAGGCAAGCTGTGAGCGAGCCCCGCCCCGCCCCTCGCTGGCCCCGCCCCTCCCCGGGGTGGCCCAGCTCTGGGAGCTAGCCAGGCCCGCGTGCTCCTTTAAGGCGACTCGCCCGCGGAGGAGTGTGTTTCGCCCCCTCCGACCGCGCCGAGGTAGCTGCTTCACCTTTAAGGCGGCGCGGGGGCTGCTGGGAAGGCCGGCGGGATGGAGGCAGCGGGATCGGCTCACGGCCACGGATCCCGGTGAAGCGGGGCGGGAGCCGGAGCCGGAGCCAGAGCCGGAACCGGAGCCGGGCGGAGCCAGAGGCGCAGTTCGGCGCGGGCCGATCGGTCCAGGAAACCCGGTCAGGCCCTAAAGGGGAGGGGCTGCGGACAGCCTAGGGGAGGGGTCGCCTTCTGGAGGACCAGGATAGCCGGCGGGGAGGGGGCGCGGTCCTGGGGGCTCGGGGGCGGGAGCTGGGCCTTTTCTAGGGAGGGTCTGCTGGGCGTCCCACCAGTATATGGGAGGGGTCGTCGTGGGCGCGGCCTATAGGTTCACTCCTGAAACCTGAGACCTGAGTTCTCTCTACTGGGAGGGTCTCCGTGGGAACGACCTGCCCTGGGGGAGGGGCTCCGCAGTTCGGGCTGCCTGTGGGGGAGGAGGCTATCGCTGGGGCTGGGGCCGGGGCTGGTGCCGGATCGCCCGGAGGGGCCGGGGCTCCCCGCACCCGGGTAAACCCCTACGATCCGCGTACGGCTCCCTGATCCGTGTCCTAATTGAAGGAGTTCCGGGAACGCCCCGAGACTGGGCGGCCTAAGCCAGCCAAGAGCTGGTGGTCTGAGTCGGAATCGGGGTCCAGCCTCACCGCATTGCGTCTCCCTGGCCAAGACAAGCCTGGCGCGCCCCCTATAGGCCGAGCTCGGGCGCGGTACAGGCGGCCTGCTGGGAGATCCGGACGCCCCAAGGACCTAGGCGGCCCGCGACCGCCGGTGTTTACCAAATCTGGGGTGGACAGCGGTGTGGCCCTAGGCCCGGTGCCCGCCTGCCCGCCCCTCACCATCACAGGCAGCGCGACCATGGCCACGATGGTGCTTCCGCGGGAGGAGAAGCTGAGCCAGGATGAGATCGTTTTGGGCACCAAGGCCGTCATCCAGGGATTAGAGACCCTACGTGGGGAGCATCGTGCTTTGCTCGCTCCCCTGGCCTCTCATGAGGCCAGCGAGGCCGAGCCAGGCTCTCAGGAACGCTGCCTCCTCCTTCGCCGCTCCTTGGAGGCCATAGAGCTGGGGCTGGGGGAGGCCCAGGTAGGTCAACTGGAATGCCGAGGTGGGAGGTCATGGGAGGGGTTGAGTTTTCTAGAGGAATCTCGGTAATGTAGGAACAGTATCTGAGCAAAGAACCACCTGACCTCTTGAGTCCCATGCTAGGACTGCAATAAATATTTTTTGAAGATAAGAAGTGCACTTTGGAGACCCCAGCCTGCCCCTGGAGACCTTGAACACCCTCACTCCCCCAGAGACAGGGTAGGAGAACAGAAAGGAGATCTTTAAGGAAATACTCCCCCCATTCATTGTAACATTAATACTTTAAGTTATCTGATTTATTATATGCCAGGCAACAAGTCAGTGCCAGGGATACAGGGTTCAACAAGGCAGAACAAGATTCCTGCCCTAGTCTGGTAGAAAAAGAAAAACAGTTAATTGTAACAAATTGTGATAAATTTTCTAAAGAATAGAGAGCAAGATCTTGTGATAGCTTATAATCAGAGGTCTTATCTAATGGTCAGGTATAATTTCTCTGAGGAAAGGACATTTAAACCAAGACCCAAAGAAAGAAATGGACCAGCCTCCATAAATGGGAGTTGGGGGAGAAGTTGCATGCACAAAGGTCCTGAGGTAGGAAAGATCGTGTGAGGGAAGTAAGAGAACTGTGTGACTAGAGCTTCATGGGGAAGGAGAAAGGGCGAAGGCAGGAAACAGTCATGGCCTTGATAGTTTGGATTTTATTCTCAGGAAATCAGGAAGGACTCTAAGCAGGCAGGAAATATAGACTTAGGTTTTAAAAACTCCCCTTGCGATATGGAGAATAAACCTGCAGGGGAGGGTATCAGAGATGGAAGCAGGTAGCATGTTGCTGGGAAGCCACTGCTCAAATTCAAATGAGGGAAGGCACTGGGACTAAAGGGATGGCCATAAGGGTGGAGAGAACTGGCCCAGTTCTAGAAGTTCTAGAGGTAGGTCCAGCAGGATGTGGGGATGAAATAAGGGAGTGGGGGCAGCAGAACTCAGATTTGTGTTAGAAGCAAGTTCAGGGACAAGATATCCTGGGTGGATCAGGAGTTCTCTTTTGTCCCTTGTAAATTGGGCTGTCAAGACCATTTGCAGACAGAGATGTCCAGAAGGCATTGAGACTCACAAGGACTTAGACTCTGGGAAAGCCCCACCCCTGTACTGGCAATTAAACCCAGGGTGCTTTAATACTGAGCTACATCCCAAGTGCTTAGTTATTTTTATTTTGAGACAGGGTCTTGCTAAGTTTTACCCAGGCTGGCCTTGAACTTGCAGTTCTCTTGCCTCAGCTCCCAAGTTGCTAGGATTACAGGTGTGTACCACCATACCTGGCTCTGGAAAGGGTTTTGTTTCCCTCAGATCTTGACTAAGCCACTGCCTGGCTGTGTGAATCCTGGGCAGGTTGAATCATTTTGTTGTCTTTAAAATAGAGATTATAGCCTCTGCTATATATACTTCCAGGTTGTTTAGGGAATTTTTTTAAAAGCTTGTGGTTGTAAAAACACCTTTCACTTAAACATTTGCTAACCTGCTAGAAAGAGCAGGATCTCAGACTGCCTAACCCTCTGCAAGGGCAACATATTCCTTTCCCAGTTGGCTGTCAGTTGCAGAGATGGCCACATGGGTCCCACTCCCAGTGGCTTATAAGCCTCACACAGTTGGGGAACAGGAGAGCTCAGCAAGGAGGCCACACGTGGAGGGAAAGTGTGACCAGGAAGAGGAAGACCATGAGAGATTGAGAAAGGAGAGTGGAGCCCATGCCAGGGCCCCAAGGCAGGAAGAGCCTGGAAGCTCAGGAAGGGAATCAGAAGTTGGGGAGGGGGGAGGTGGAGCTGAGGCCTCTGGATTCCCTTACCTGCCTCTGTGCTTCCACAGACCCTCAGGGCTTGTGAGGGATCCTCAGCAGAAGTTGGGATGAGGCCTTTTCATCACTTGGCAGCCACTTGTCTGAGTTCTTTGGGCAAGTACTAGTCCTGGGCAGGAAGCAGTAGTAGAGTGGCTGTGTTTGCAAATTTGAAGTACAATTCTCACTAGAGACAAAGGAGAGTCTAGCATCTCAGGGATCCCAGAGGTAGCACTGAGGGACCTCCTCCTGGGTTTGAGCTTTGGACTATGGGACTAGGGGAGAATCTTCCTTGAGTTGGGGGATACTCTTGAGTCCCAAGGCCCTGCAGCTCCTCACAAGCAGAGCCAGGACTGGCTCTTCACAAGCCCAGGAGTCCCAGGGAGTGGCCTGGGCTCTGATGTGCATCTGGCTGACCACAGGTGATCCTGGCATTATCCAGCCACCTGGGTGCCGTGGAATCAGAAAAGCAGAAGCTTCGGGCTCAAGTGCGACGGCTGGTGCAGGAGAACCAGTGGCTGCGTGAGGAGCTGGCAGGGACGCAGCAGAAACTGCAGCGCAGTGAGCAGGCAGTGGCTCAGCTGGAGGAGGAAAAGCAACACCTGCTATTCATGAGCCAGATTCGAAAGCTGGACGAGGACACCTCCCCCAATGTGAGTCCTAACCAGCGAGGAGACTCAGGAAGGTGAGGCAGCTGGGGACAACTGGCTGCCTGTGCCTCCCTCCCTGACACGTTGTCCCTTGTTCCTCCCCAGGAGGAGAAGGGGGATGTTCCCAAAGACTCTCTGGATGACTTGTTCCCCAACGAGGATGAGCAGAGCCCAGGTGCAGATGGGCAGTTGGCTCTGGGTTGGGGCAAGGAAGGGTTAGGCTGATTCCTGGGCCTTGGGACCCAGAAGTCACAGGAAATGGGGAAGGGTGGCAGCTATCTTCTTTCTTGCCTTTTTTTCCCCCCCTTTTTTAATGACATCCCAGCACACTAGTGCTTTAAAGGCAGGTTTTCCCTGTTGCATCTTAGTACCCTCTAAGTTCTGCCAGCAGCAGACATCACAGTTAAGAGCTCTGGAGCCACCGGGCCTGACTCCACCTACTCTCCACTAGCTCCTCTGAGGCCACTGGGAGAGTTCCTTTTCCTCTCACAGCCTGCTCTGAGGGTCAGGGGAGAGACAGGAAGAATAGTGCCCAGCAGGGCTGTGCTTGCCTCTCTCAGGATGTTGAGTACGAAGTGAAGCCTAACTCTGCAGATGGAAGAGTTAAGTCTCAGAGGTTAGGGAACTTGCTCCAGGACATACAGCTTGAAATGTTGGAGCTAGGACCCTACCCATTTTCTCTGGGGTGACTATTCTATATACGGGGAAACTGAGGCAGAGGTGAATGACTTGCCCAGGGCTACATGTTAGGTGGGTGAAATGCACAGCTGGCATGTGCCAGCCCAGCCCAGGGGCAGATGGCACATCTGACCTGCCCCTTGGCCCTGCAGCCCCTAGCCCTGGAGGAGGGGATGTGGCTGCTCAGCATGGAGGCTATGAAATACCAGCACGGCTCCGTACCCTGCACAACCTGGTGATCCAATACGCTGCTCAGGGCCGCTATGAGGTGGCTGTGCCACTCTGCAAGCAGGCGTTGGAGGACTTGGAGAAGACATCAGGCCATGACCACCCCGATGTGGCCACCATGCTCAACATCCTAGCACTGGTCTATAGGTGAGGGCCCTTTCTCACCAGTCATCTGTGGGAGCATCTGCATCCTTCCTGATGACTCCAGCCCTGGGTCACTAACTCTCAATGCCTGCTGAGACCAGGACTTAGGCCTCAAGGGGAAGCTGAGAGAGAAGAAAGGCCTTCATGGAGTGGGGCTCTCAATCTAGTGGATAAGAAGATTTGGGCATAAGCAGGGAGTTGGTCCAGCTTAGGTACCCAGCCTTGGGTACGGACTCTATGAAAAGTGAGTTGGCCCAAAACACAAGAGTGACACAAACCAGGGCACTGGGGACTAGACAGCAGGGTGCACTTGAAAGCTTGGGCCCCTGGTGAGTTGTGAGTGAATTACCAAAGCCCCCAAGTGCCTAGAGAGCAGGGGCTGCCCAGGCTTCCCAATACTGAATCACAGTATCATGCCACACATCAGTGACCTCAGGGATCATGGGACCCTGGGGACAGGCCTTGGCTGGAGGACAACCCTAAGCATTTCCTGCCTGCTCCCAGGGACCAGAACAAGTACAAGGAGGCTGCCCACCTGCTCAATGATGCCCTGGCCATTAGGGAGAAGACACTGGGGAAGGACCACCCAGCTGTGAGTGAAGGGCATGGGTTGTGGGAGGGTTGTCCTCCACTTCCTACAGATCCCCGAGTCCCTGCCAAGTGAGGCCCAGGGTCAGGTCCTTCCATGTTCCACCCCTGCAGGTGGCTGCAACACTGAACAACCTGGCCGTTCTGTATGGCAAGCGGGGCAAGTACAAAGAGGCTGAGCCACTGTGCAAGCGGGCCCTGGAGATCCGGGAAAAGGTCGGAGCCAGCAGGGTTAGAGCTGGGCAGGTAGGGAACTGGCCAGACGCCTCTAGCCCAGCCACTGGCCCCTTCTCTTATCTCAGGTCCTGGGTAAGTTTCACCCAGATGTAGCCAAGCAGCTCAGCAATCTGGCCTTGCTGTGCCAGAACCAGGGCAAAGCAGAGGAGGTGGAATACTACTACCGGAGGGCGCTGGAGATCTATGCTACCCGCCTTGGGCCTGATGACCCCAATGTGGCCAAGACCAAGAACAACCTGGTACCTTGGGGCTGGAGTCTAAGCAGGAGAGATGGAGGGTTGGGGACAGGGAGGAAGAAGAGGGAAAGCCCAGCTCCCTTCGCTCTGCTCATTCCCTGGGGCCCTGCCTCTCCAGGCTTCCTGTTACCTGAAACAGGGCAAATACCAGGATGCAGAGACTCTATACAAGGAGATCCTCACCCGTGCTCACGAGAAGGAGTTTGGCTCTGTCAATGGTGAGTCCATGTGCCTCTAGCTCATCTAGCACATGCATACTCAGCCATGAATGCCGCGGATACTGCCTCTACTGGGCAAGCCCTTACACCTAGGGTCTGGGTGGTGGCCCAGCCTCACTTGTGGGTGGTACCCATGGAGCACACCTACCTACTGGACAGCCATAGCTGTGCATATTGTGGCAAGCCCCATGCTCTTTGCTTCCCTTTCAACACCAGGCAACTCCTACTCACCTTGAGGGTCTGGCCCAAGTGTTCCCTCTTCTGAGAAATCACCTTCTGGCCCCCAGTGCTCAGCCATTTCCTGCTCCCAGATCTCTAGAAGCTGATCTATTTTTTAGGCCTACCACTTGTCTTGGGCTCTGGTCCTAGTTGTGTAAAGATCTGTCCTCTACGCTTGTTTTGCCCCAGTCACAAGCCTCTGCATGCAGGCCTGTGTCCTGCTCACTTCTGTCCAGAGGAGAGTCAGTGATGATTTTTGTTGTTGTTGTTCATTTATTCAGCAAAGCAGAATCCTTGTTCTTCCTGGGTAGTCCTGTTCTCCCCAGACCCCAGTCCAACCCAATCCAATCCAGCAGGCTGGTGACAATCCCTTTTCTCCCCACAGGGGACAATAAGCCCATCTGGATGCATGCTGAGGAACGGGAGGAGAGCAAGGTAGCTCTGTGAGCAGGACTGGGGAAGGCCCAAGACTGGGATATTTGGAGGGGAGGGACTTTGCCCACCTCCCCAACTGACTGAACTTTCCCCCAGGATAAACGTCGGGACAGCGCCCCCTATGGGGAGTATGGCAGCTGGTACAAAGCCTGTAAGGTTGACAGGTGAGGGCAGGAGTAGGCTGGGATTAGAGCAGATAGCAGAAAACTGCATCCAGGGTGAGGTGAGGCCCAGGCTCTACACTCTATCCTCTTACCCCTCTCCAGGACACACACCTTTCCTCTGCCCTCTCATCTTTCAAGTACCAGGTCACAGACCACCTGTCCCAAGGAAGCTTCCTGCACCAAGACCTTTTGGTGTTGGTGGCAATATCCCATAAGGGCCTTGGGCCAGGTCCCCATTCCTGGGGTGATTCTCCCAAGAAGTGAGATACCAGTGGGCTAGAACAGGACTGGACACATGGGAGAGGCTAGATTCTCAATGACTGGGTGGTTCTTCAGGGCTCAGTGTGGACTAGATGCCAGAAAGGCCCTGGGTCAGAGAAATATGGAGTTTGAAACTCTTTTGTTGTCTGTCCACAGCCCCACGGTCAACACTACCCTGCGCAGCTTGGGGGCCCTGTACCGGCGCCAGGGCAAGCTGGAAGCTGCGCACACCCTGGAGGACTGTGCCAGCCGCAGCCGCAAGCAGGTAGGGCTCCATGCAGAGGGAGGGCAGATAGGGATCTAGGAGGTCCTGTATGTGTTCCAATCAGGGCCTTATGCTCCCTGCCCCTTTCTCAGGGCCTGGACCCTGCAAGCCAGACTAAAGTGGTAGAACTGCTGAAAGATGGCAGTGGTGGGCGGGGAGACCGCCGTGGCAGCAGAGATGTGGCTGGAAGTGCTGGGCCTCGGTCTGAGTCTGACCTCGAAGAGACTGGGCCTACAGCTGAGTGGAGTGGGGTGAGTGTGGGGACTGGGGTGGCCTGGGAGTCTGTGTAGCCAGTGTAGCCTAGAGACTGACCTGTCACTTACAGGATGGCAGCGGCTCATTGCGGCGCAGTGGTTCTTTTGGGAAGCTCCGGGATGCTCTGAGGCGCAGCAGTGAGATGCTGGTGAAGAAGCTGCAAGGGGGTGGCCCCCAGGAGACCCCTAATCCCAGGTGAACCCCCACCCAGGGTGAGCCTCTCCAGAACCACCCAACAACCCCAGATAAGCTCATGATCCAAATGCAGCACCACCACTACCAAATGTGCTTTCCCTCCCCCTTCCCAACCCCAACCTGACTCCTCCCCGACCAATCCCACCATGGGCAAATCCCGGTCATCTTTTACCCTCAGAATGAAGCGGGCCAGTTCCCTCAACTTCCTCAACAAGAGCGTGGAAGAGCCAGTCCAGGTAGGGGCAGAGGGTCTTGGGCATTGGGCAGCTGAGGCCCAGGCCCCTGCCCTGGGTCCCAAGTCTGCAAGTGCTCCTGCCCAGCTTCTCCTGGAGCATGTCTCTTGATTAAGCAATGTTCTGTCCCTGTCCCAGGCCTGCTTTGGACTGGATAGCAGGGAGACAGATGAGAACACAGCCCCTGCCCTGGGGTGGACATGTACAGGGCCAGTGCCAACATAGTAACCGTGGAGTGACAGGAGTGTCAGACACTGGGGTGTGGCCTTGGGCCAGACCTGCCTCTCCCCAGCTGGGGGACACAGGCTGTGTCTGCTACAAAGGAATGGCTGGGTCAGGCCCTTGGGGCCTGGAAGCACAATCCCAGCAGCATAAGGCTGAGTCACCTACCCCTCTGCCCACAGCCTGGAGGTACAGGTCTCTCTGACAGCCGCACCCTCAGCTCCAGCTCCATGGACCTCTCCCGACGAAGCTCCCTGGTGGGCTAATCCTGAAGGGGGAGCCAGTCATCAGAGCCTCCACCGGGCATAGCCCCTACCCCCTGCCCTGCGCATGGGCCTGCTGCTTGTCCTGCCTGTCTCTCCCAAGAACCCCCGTCTTTTCTGTTCAATCTCAGGGTAACCTCTCCCCTTGTCATCTCAGCCTGAGCCCTGGAGGCCGGGCCTGCCAGCTCCAGCTCTACCCTTATTTATTCCTTCCAGCAGGGGCCCCTCTTCCCTAGGATACAGGCCAGAGGGAAGGGCTGGCTGGAGTCTCCAAAATAACTCGGTGTCCTGCCCTCCCCAGATCCTGGACTGGAGAACACTAAGCACCTGCCCAACCTTCAGCACTCTTGCCCTCCATCCCGATCCCTGCCCCCACCGGCCGTTGCTTCTGTATATAGAGAAATAAGTTATTGGCCGCGCCCCACCCCTCAGTCCACTGTACTCCCTGGGCTTCCCTTCGCCCGCCCGCCCTTCTCCAGTGGTACCGCCCAGGCCTTAATCACCTCCATTCCGTGCGGTGGTATCTCCCAAGCTGCGTGTTCTTAGGGGCGTCGCCTCCGCATAGGGTTGTCTGGACTTCCTCGCGCTTCTGGGCTCCGAGGGATGCGTCCCATCGCGCCTTGCCAGGTGCCCCAGAACTGAGGGTCTGAGTCGGAGCCCATCCTCCATCCGCCGGGCCCTGCCCCTCATCCCGGCCTTATGCACTGCCCCTCCTGCCAGGCCCAGACCAGGCACCGCCCGTTGAGCCATCCTGCCACGCCTCCTCCCGCGCCTGCAGCTTCTCGGGAGGGCCGGTGACAGCCCCTGGTGGCAGGAGGGACTTCCCCAGTTGAGGGATGAGGTGGTCGCTATTTTCAGATGTTGCTGTAGAAATAAAGACGGTTTGAATCTGTACTAAGCTTGTTTTAAGGGGGAGGTCCCTAGCATATCGGGGGCGGGGGGAGATGTCGCGTGGAGTGTGTGTGTGTGTGTGTGTGTATATCGCGTGCGTCCTGCGATGCGGGAGCCCAGATACTCTGCCCCTGTCCCGGAACTGTGTGGGGGTGCCACGAGTGCGGGATTTCTAAAACATTTACCTCTGGGGTTCTTAAGAGCTCGTGCTTTGGTAAGTTTTGCACCTTAATACTGTTTGAATCCGAGTTTTCGGGGAGTCGATTTCCCATGTATGATACGTGAGTTATGGGGCTGGGGATGTAGCTTAGGGGTAGAGTGCTTGCATAGTCATGCACAAGACCCTGAGTTCTATCCCCAGCACCGCATGAAAGAAAGAAATGTGGGTGATGACCTCCTCCTGAGCCTCGGTAGGGCTGAGAGTGTACAGCACACGAAGAACCCTGGATAAATAAAATTTTACTGCTCCTGCTGCAACCATGCGCCTTCTCATTTAATGCCCACATCCTGCAAGCCAAAAGGGTGAGGATGGCTGCCTCCGTTAGACAAGTGAAAAGTGCAAAACTGAGGTGCACCAGTGAGTCCCCGCCGGGTTCGGAGCTAGGTCCTCCCGCCAGGTCCGTCCAGGAACTGAACCACGAGCCCCAGAAGTCAGTGCGCCGGCAGCGACGGGAGCGCTTGGCTGCTGTGCCTCTCGGAGTTAGGCCTGCGCAGCGGCGGCGAGTCGTACACTTGGGCAGACTACAAGTTCCGGGAAGCAGCGCGGCGCAACCCAAGTCGAAAAGGTTTGCGCCTGCGCGGCGCGGGCGGGGCCTCTGGGGCGGAGCGGCCACCATCTTGGAACGGGAGGCGGAGCAGAGCTGACTGGGAGCGACCGAGCGGGCCGCCGCCGCCGCCATGAACCCCGAATAGTGAGTGAGCCCCGCCCGCGCCGCCCGGGGCAGCCTCGATCCCGAGTACGGGGCTATAAGCTTACCGGGGTGTCTGGCCTGGGTCAGGACGGCGCAGCGTCCCTACATCCGGGTCCCTCTTCCGCTGACCCCCCCCCACATCCGGGTCCTGCCCCTCCCCCCGTGGGCCCCAGGACCCCGGCTCCACACCCCGAGTCCTGGCACCCGCAGCCCAGGGGCGGTGGCCCTGAGGGGCAGCACCTGCAATCGGGGGCACCGGTCCTATTAGGCCTTCTCGGTCAGGTGACTCCGCAGCTCCAGTCTCTCCAGGCCTCAGTTTCCCCACCTGCTGCTTGACTACAGTCCCGGTGGTTTGCAGCCTGTCAGAATAATCCCGGGGCCCCGGTTCAGACTTGGGCGCTTTAGGCCCGGCTGTGAATCGTTCTGCCCTTCGTTTTCTTCTGGAGTCGGGCTCCGCGGGCCGACCTGACGCGGGAGGCCCGGAGCGCCACTTGGCTCGCGTCCCCTTGAGGTCCTCCCCTCCGGAGCTGCCGCCTCGCCCTTGTCTGGGCCCCGCTGCTCTGTTGTTCCTAGTAGTCCGTCCTTTCCTGCCCTCCCACCTTTGCTTAGCCCTCCAGCGCCACCGTCACACCTTTTCCCTCCGTTGTCAAACTGTGGAGAAGTTTAGGGGAATGTGGGATTTGCTTTTCCCTTTGCAGTGGGATTCTGTAATCCTTAGACTCCTCACTTCTTGGTCACCTCCCCCTGCGGGTGGGTGGACCACATCTCATGCCCTGCACTCCTAGTTTTCCCCAAGTATCAGTTATCTTCTTCCTCTTTTGCCACTTCCTTTTTCTCCTCCAGCTCCAGGCCTCAGATTTCCTTGGGGAAGGGTGAAGCTCTGAGCCGAATTAGGAGGGGGAACAGAGAAGGGAACCGGCAGGCCCTCAAAGAGACTGGAGTCTGACAGGCCTGGTTTCAAGTCTCAGAGTTGTCAGCTGTGTAACTTAGGGCAAGTCACTTCCCTTCTTTGACCTCTGGTTTCCCCATTAGTTTGGGAATAAGGACACTGACTTCCTTGGACTGTCAGGGATTTAACAAGAGATGCACTTGAAGTACTTTTCACAGAGCCAGTCACAGCTCAGTAAGTACTAAGTGCTGTTATCATTGCCACTTGTTGACCAACTCTTTTTGGTGACTTCACATCAGGCTCTTTACATTGCTTTTTTACTTATTTAGTTCTGGGATGGGCCTTAGTTTCCACTCCTGGGGACTCCCTGCCTAGATGGGTATACCCAGGGCACAGTGGGGGTTCCCTAAATAGCTCCTAGTGGACAGAACCACAGTTTGTCAGGAATCAGGGTAGGATGCCAGCTTTGTCACTGATTGCAATTCTTGACAAGTCATGTTTCTCTTTGTCTCAGTTTCCTTTTCCATAAAGTGGGACTTAGCAAGCTGAGGGTGCTATGTATGGGTTAGATTATTTTGGGGATGGGGGGTGTTTGAATTCTAATAACTGGTGAGCATTATAGTGCACCATATCAAGACATGCTTTATGGTGTGGGGGGAATGCTATAATAGTGACTTCAGGATGATGGCAGCTGGGCTTCCTGCCTTCCTTCACACCTTCCTGTCTTTTTTCTCCAGTGACTACCTGTTTAAGCTACTTTTGATTGGTGACTCGGGCGTGGGCAAGTCATGCCTGCTCCTGCGGTTTGCTGTGAGTAAGAAGCCTCCCATACCATCTATCTGGGGTCCTGGCAGAGGACTGGGGCAAGGAGAAACAAGGGAACTAAGGATGAGGTTGCAGCATCTGCTAGCAGTGCAGCGCATCTGACTGAACAAGGGCACGGGGTTGGCAAGTTGGGGTGCTCAGAACAGGAGCTTGGCAGCTAGGAGCCCAGCCAGGACAGAGAGCTGGAGGGACAATTTCCATATAGGAAAAGGCCCATTCACCAAGGCCTTTTCACTGGCCCCAACCTTCCAGGATGACACATACACAGAGAGCTACATCAGCACCATTGGAGTGGACTTCAAGATCCGAACCATTGAGCTGGATGGCAAAACCATCAAACTTCAGATTGTGAGTGTGGTTCCTCCCCAGTCCCTGGGACAGAGGCATGTGTCTTAGAAGGGGAGGACTCAGACTGACCAGCCCCTCTCCCTACTGTGTCGTAGTGGGACACGGCCGGTCAGGAACGATTCCGGACCATCACTTCCAGCTACTATCGGGGGGCTCATGGCATCATCGTGGTGTATGACGTCACTGACCAGGTACTCCCAGCTTTGCCTCCTTGGGTTTAAGATTTTGACTCTTGTTTTTTATTCTTCTGTCTTCTCTTTGCCGATGCTCCCCAGAAAGGGGAAGCATTTATATTCAAACTTACTTCACAAGGAGTGGAATGGCCACAAAAATGATCCTCTCACAGCCCTGCTGCAGGGTCTTGGCAGAACCAGGCCTCACACTTCCTCCCACCACCTCATTCTAGACCTTCCAGTCACCTGTTTTGTGGGGGTTTAGTCAGCTGATTGGCCACTGTGCTGGGCCCATGGCTTCCTATGTGAAGAACAATTGAAGGGGGAACAATTGAAGGGCCTTAGATAAGGAAATGAGGGAGCTCTAAGCTTAGGGCCCAGAGGTCCAGGAACTCTGTGTCTGCTACAGTGACTTCAGTCACATGTCACTAGCAGTAGAGGTGGATGGCAGCAGGCAGAATTAAGCCTACAATGTCTTTTACTTTACAGAATCGATCACAGCCTTAGAGTTGCTTTTTTTTTTTTTTTTTTGATAAGAGGTCTTGCTCTGTTATCCAGGCTGTGACCTCCTAGGCTCAAGTGATCCTCCTGCCTCAGCCTTCTGAGTAGCTGGAACTATAGACTATAGTGTGCCACTGTCTGGCTTCATATTGCCTTTTAATGCTAGATCTATGTCATGTTCCCATCTTACAAATGAGGACCTGGGTTCAGGATGGTGAGGTGTCTCGCTTAGGGCCTTGCAGCTAGTACAGTGGCAGAGACAGAAAGCCTAGTCTCTGGATCCCACCTGCTTTTTTTTTCTACCAAACCTTGTTGTTTAATAGGGGCCAGGCCCTGGAGACATGAGAGTTTACATCAGCGCCGAGCTGAGAGAGTCCCTGCTCTGAGGAGCAGTAGGGCTTTTCTGCTCACCAAGGATTCATGCCACTTATTGTGGACAACAAGCTGGGGGGTAAGCTGGATGGACCTAGGCCCTCCTGACTGACTGCCAAATGCAGTGACCTTGTTTCACTTCTCACCCTGATTGACCTCCTGGGACTTTTAATCTATTCTCTTCTCTCTTCTTGGAAAGTGGACTATCGATATTGCTCCACCTTCTGCTTTACACACACTCATATCACTGAATTCCACCTCAAGCCCCTTCAGTGTTTTTTATGGTTTATTCTGTATTGTCCCCCAATTCCATATTTTCTGCTTTCTGACTCTGGCCCTGGCTTCCTCCTTACTATCCCACATGGTTCTGGCCAATTCTTTGATTTGGCTTCTGTCTTGTCTTCTCTGATGTCTATTCAGCTTTCACTGTAGATACCCTCCTTTTTGTCTGTGCTTGTGCTAGCACTTGGTGTCTGTGTTAATTCAAATCTCACTATTTTACCTAGTTAACTTAAGGGTGCAGTCTGTGTTTCCATATGAGGAAACTCACTTGGAAAGGTGTTAAGTAACTTGCCCCTGATCTCCCAGTCAGGAAGGGCAAAGCCACGGTTGACACCCAGGGTTCCTAGCTTTAAGCATAACCTTTCCTGCCCTTGATACCTCTCCTTAGCCTCAGATATTTGCAGAACTCAGATGTCCAATATTGGCCTAATGTTCTCTCCCCAAATCCTCTCCTGCATCTTTATCTTTGTAACACAATCCTTGTCAGAAAACTCTTCCCTCCCCCATCCAGTCTTTCTCAAGGGCCCTTTATTCTCTCACCATTATGTCTTTCAAATTTGTCCCCTCATAATAATAGCAGTGATGAGGATAATAGCCTTACTTGCTAATTAAGCACTTGTTATGAGACAGGCTTGTATTCATTCTTTCATGCAAACAACAGCCTTGCAGGGAGGTACTATTTTATTCAAAAAAAGAAACTGAGGCTCACAGAGGTCACGTGATATACCTAAAGTCCCACAGTAAATGTCTAAGCCAGGGCTTCACCCAGGATGACCTGATGCTAGGCCTATGTGCTCCCCCACTGCACTCCACATCTTTTCTGAATTACAGCAACCACCTTCCAGTTGGTCTCTGTCTTCTTGCTGATTCTCTGGCCTCCACATCCTGTCTGGACCATTTTCCCAGAACAGGTTTGATCCTGCGGCTTCTGTGAGAGACCCCCCCCACTGGCTCCTGGTGTTCCCAGTCTTATCCAGGCTAACACCCTTTGAGCTCTGGCCTGCCTGCTCCTCTCCTCCCCAACTCAGGGCTGTGTCCTGGTAACATCCCACTTCTCCCCGCTCCCTAAAGACACCATGCCTTCCTCTCCATAGCTGGCACCTTTCCTGCAGAAAGCCATTTGGTACCTACAGGCTGAAGTCAGAGACAATCCTGGGGCTCCCCAGCACCTGCCTTCCATTCCTATCTTGCCATTGTGTATGTCCTGTTCTGTTCCTCCATTGTCCTCTGAATGCCTTAGGGAAGGCCCAGGGATGAGTTCTGTCTTTGTCCCTTAAGAAGAGAAGCAGCTCTGAAGCTTGAACACTTAGCCTAGAAGTTCTGCCCTTTGACTTGGTGGGTCTCAAGCTGCTCGGAGAGTCTAAGGCCCAGTGATGAGGATCTTGATGCAGAAATAGGAAAAGTGTTCAGCTCTGCACCCTCAAAAGGCTCCCCTTTGAAGACCTCCACCTCCCACTAGGCTCCAAGCCCGTAAGGGTTTTTAAGACATATCTACCTGTCTCACTCTGACCTGCCTCTGTCCTGCTGCCATTGGCTCCCACATATGGTTAGGCCTGGAAGTGGCTCAGAGAGAGCTGCTGGAGGCACAGCCGGATGGCAGGCAACGTGGCTGTGCTGGGCCTGGATTTTGGGGTCCCAGATGGAGAACAGCAGGAGAGGGGGCTTCTTTCTGGATCCTTGAGCCCATAGCTCCCATCTCTCCCTGAAAGGATTCTTGTTTACAGGCCTGGAGAAGGGTGGGAGTTGGAAAATCAATAACTTTGGACCCTGGGCCCTCTAGGAATCCTATGCCAACGTGAAGCAGTGGCTGCAGGAGATTGACCGCTATGCCAGTGAGAATGTCAATAAACTCCTCGTGGGCAACAAGAGTGACCTCACCACCAAAAAGGTGGTGGACAACACCACAGCTAAGGTGAGCAGGCCCAGGCCAGGCCATCCAGGGGTTTGGGGCCTGCTGCCTCTCACCCTTCTCTCCCCTCCTCCTCTCTCCTCTCCCCTTGTCAGGAGTTTGCAGACTCCCTGGGCATCCCCTTCCTGGAGACAAGTGCCAAGAATGCCACCAATGTGGAGCAGGCGTTCATGACCATGGCTGCTGAGATCAAAAAGCGGATGGGGCCAGGCGCAGCCTCAGGGGGCGAACGGCCCAACCTCAAGATTGACAGCACCCCTGTGAAGCCAGCTGGTGGTGGCTGTTGCTAGGAAGGGCACTTGGGGTACAACAGGAAGGGGCACCTTCTCCAGATGATGCCCCTGGAGGGAGCAAGAGGTGCCTCCCTCTGCCTCTCCAGGGGCACTTGAGTCTGTGGCTTTGGGGTGTCCTGGGCTCCCCACCTCCCTCTGGCCCATCTGCCTGCTGCCCTGAGCCCCAGTTCTGTCAGGGCCCCCAAGGGAGTTCATGCAGGACCTGTGACTTGGGTGGGGGTGGGGGGCTGCTCTGCTGCTGCCTCTAGGTACCTTGAAAAGATGCCCCACCATGCACCCTCCTTTGGAACGAAGGCTCTGTCTCCCCACCCCCATGTATGCTGCACTGGGTTTCTCTTCTCTTCCTTTTCTCCCACCTTCCCAAGAGCTGAGGGCTTCCCTGGCCTTTGCTGCCCATGGCTACAATCAGTGCCTGAGGCCAGCAGTGTGGCCAGGGGATCCAGGACCTGGGATCCAGAGCCCTGGGCCGGAACTCAGGATGGGCATGGGGGTCGCAGGGGCCCAGCAGCCCACTCTTTCCCTGCCTCCCTTCACCCCTCCCACACTCACAGCTCCAGCCGTCCAGCTGCAGTGGGGATAGAGTACGGCTTGGGCAGGTGGGTGGGCGGTTGCACTGGGCCTATGTCTTGAGCCCATAGGGAGCCTGCTCCTGCCTCCCCCTGCCCTGCCAGAGGCAGGCCTATGTGCTGCCTGCCCACCGTGCCCCTTTGTCCCTGTGGCAGGCGGAGGCGGAAGGCCCACCGTGCCAGAGGCCAGGCACCAGCCTTAACCCTCACTCTGCCAGCACCTCTTCCCTATCCCTGAGGCAGCACATCAGGCTTATTCTCCCATCCCTCAAAGCCTAAGAGGGCAGAACCTCATCCTGTGTTGCTTCTTCTCTGGGAAATATGGGTGCAACCCAGGGTTGGGGGTCTCTCTGTTCACCCCTTCCAAACCCAGGATCCTGACCCCCTTGCCCTCTGGCACAGCTTCTTCCTGCAGAAAACAAATCTGGTCTCTACCTAAGAAGCCATGTCCCTTGTGCTGTCTCTTGCCTGTCCCACCCAAACTGTGCCCTGCCATCCCCTCCCCTTCAGCTTGTATTTAAATCCCTGAGCTGCCCCTTGGGTGGGGAGGCCTACTCCCAGGTTCCCCTCTGGTGTTATGTCAGGCATTTTGCAAGGAAAAGCCACTTGGGGAAAGATGGAAAAGGACAAAAAAAAAAAAACAATAAATCTCACTGGCCCTCCGGTGAGCTGAGGGTTTTTGCAAGGAAGTTGTGGTGGCTGTGTGTGGTCTGTCATGGGAGACTGCCTCGGGATGGGATGTGGAACTGCATCTCGCTGTAGTGAGGTACACAGGGGTCTTAGCTTGAACTCTCTGTCCAGGGTTACTGGCAAAAGACCTTGACCCACATACTGGGGCCAGGAAAGCTGCCTGCTTTTGCTGCTGTGGGCTGTCCCCAAGGGCCCAGCACGATTCTGGGAGCAGGCAGGCGGCCATCAGCAAATACCTTTAGCCACACGGGGTTGTCTCACACATGGAGTTGGGCAGAGCCAGGGTCAGGGGGCCGCAGTATACTCTACGGACATACCCCATCTCACCTGACTCGCACCACCTCCAGCCCCGGAGGTTCAGCCCTCTCTCTGGGTGCCTCGGATGGGTCCTTCGCACTTAGGACCTCAGTTTGGCTCCCGCGCTCAGTGAGTGCGCTGTGCAAGGGTAGGGGAGTGTGCCGGTCCAAGTGGACCGAGGGTGGCCGTGATGGGTTGCTTGTGTAACGGTGGCAGAGATGTACATCCAGGTCTAGGTCTGTGTCTTCTTGAGGGTACGTGGCAGTGGGCACTTGGGGCGGGGAAGCGGGTCGGGCGGGCCCGGCGCACTGAGCCCGGCCCCGCCCGAGGCCGGTGCACGGCGGCCCCGCCCCCGGCTCCGCCCCGCCGGCTTCGCGGGCTGGAGAGCGAGGGAGCCGCGGGCGAGGGATCGCAGGATGAGCGATCGCGGCCCGGGCAGCCGGCAGCGGACGCGCCCCCCGAGCCCACCGGCCCGCGCCCCGCGCCCTCCACGGCCCCGCGGCCCGGGTCCCGGCCGCGCAGCCAACGTCCTTCGAGCCCCTCGGGCCATGCCCGGTCGGCCCTAAGCGCGGGCCGGGGGGCGTCCCCTTGCGCCCAGACCCCGCGCTGGCGCCCCCCGGGCCACCGCCCGGCGCGGGGGCCATGGCGTTCACCTTCGCCGCGTTCTGCTACATGCTCACCCTGGTGCTGTGCGCCTCCCTCATCTTCTTTGTCATCTGGCACGTAAGGCTGGTCTGGGGCTGGGGGCAGGGTGGGGGGCAGGGGGGCACACGGAGCGGGAGGGGGCTTGGGTGGATGGCCTCAGAACCCTGGGGAAACTCGGAGCCTCCTCCGCTATCCCCCATCCGTCGACTTCTGTTCGCCCCCATTAATACCCCCCAGTGTCGGCTTCCTTTCCGGTGGGGCCCCCTTTCTCCACCGCCCCCGCCTGTCTGTGGGTATGTCAGTCGTTCCCTGACCCCCTTCCTTCCTTTGCCCTATCTTAATGGTGGGTTGGGGGATGGAAGTCTGGAATTCTTGTTCCTTCTCCTCCTGCCCCCTCAATCTAGCCACCCCCGTTTGTCCGTCAGGCAGTTTGTCTGTCTGTTGCTCACCCCCCCCCCTTGGGTTTTTCCAGCGGGAGTGGTGGAGCCGGTTGCTATGGCAACTGCATCTGTTTACAGGACCCACATCTCTGAGCCAATTAACCCTTTCCCTTCCCGGCCCCCTCTCTGACCAAGGAAGGGGCTCTAAGCAGCTCCAGAAACCTAGCTCCCACCGCAGCTCATTTTGGGTACCCCTCTGCCCAGGTTTCTGCTCCACTTTCCAGCTTCCTTCCTATTTCTGCTCCCACATGCCCTTTGTCTTGTGCTTACCTACCTGGTCTGCCCCTCACCCTGGCCTAGCTTCACACCTGGTTTTTCAGAATGTCCCTGTCTCATCCCTCATCCTGCTTTCTCTGAGAGGGTCCCTCTAGCTCATCCTCTCTGGGGCCCTCTCAAGGGCCTTCTCTACTGGGCCCCCTTCCCCTCACTACAGAACTATCAGTCAGCCTCCAGCTTATTGTTGGGGTCAGGGCCCCCCTTTTCAGCCCTCTCTCCTCCTCTGCCCCCTGAGGTTTCTGTCCCACTGGACCCCTCCAGTCCTGTCTGTTGCAGCCACTGACACCTCCTGCTCACCTCCAGCGCATGCAGCCCTGATCTTCATTCCCTTCCCTTCCGGGGTCCTCTTACCCCTCTCCAAGCCTTCTCCCTGTACTCCTTCCCGTCGTCGTCCTTCCTCTCTTCCTCCAGTTGCCTCACCTGCCTCTTTCCTACTCTTCCTACTTCCTCTCCTCTCTTTTTCTGGGACCTGCTGCCTGCTCCATGGTTCTCCTTGCACTCTCCTCCCAGTTCTCCCTTTGCCACCTGCCACTCCGCTGCCTTTCTCTTTCACATCAGGATTCAATTGACTCTGCTGCACCCCTGCTGTGAGAGGACTGAGCCCCCATAGGCACATCCAGACCTGCACCCCATTTCCAGCACCCTCCTGCTTTTGCTTCTCTCTCACTCTGGGTCTCCCAGTGGCTTTTTCTTTTTTCTCCCTCCTTCCTTCCTTTCAGAGCCTTGGACAGTCTTGTGGGGTGAGAGGAGGCTTGGGTCCTAAGGAATGGAAGGAATTGGGGACCACAGCCTGGGGAACATAAGGCTAGCCAGCTGCTAGAATTAAAAAAAAAAAAAAAAAAAAAACTTTCAGCCCCCTGCCCCAGGGGATTCTCAGAGTCCCTTCATCCCACACACCGGTGTCAATTCAGGCACTGGGAGGCTCTGAGGGAGTCAAGGATACATAAGAATCAGACTTTGCCCTTGTGGAGTGACCTGGCTGAGAGGAAGGTCCTGAGTTTTGAAGTAACACCTTTGTTCATTCAAGAAATATTTATGGAGCACCTACTATGTATGAGGCAGTGTTTGCTCAGCCGTTTAGCTGGGTGATCTTAGCAAGCCATTCATCCAGAGTCTGTTACCTTGTCAGTGAAGTGCTTTAGACATCAGTGCCCAGAGTGAAGTGGCTAAGAGGGAAGGGGGCAGGAGGTGTGGTCCTTCATCCAAAGCTGGTAAGAACTAGAACCTTCCAGGGCAGGACCCCAGATCCTGCTCCAGCCCCTGAACCTAGGTTCCACTGGTCGCTAGGCAACCCTGGTGGTGAGTGACGCGTGTCAGCTGTCACCGTGGGGGATTGTTTGTTCCAGGGGGCTGAGTCAGCACCAGGCAGCCTGAGGGGTGGGAGGTGCGACACCGGCTGCCTGCTGGTGGTGCCAGCTTGGGGGCAGACAGACGGCACCCTTCCGCTCCCTGCTGGACCCTGTAGCTATGCCTATCAGTCAGGCTGCTGCCCAGAGTCAATGATGGGTTGGGGGAGGAGCTCCAGATGGCCCCAGCTCCCTTTAGGAAGCCCATGTTCTTTCCCTTTGAGCTGTCTGGGGTCTGGGATATTTGGGGGTGGTGGGACTGCTGCCTCAAGCTGATGGGGAGGAAACCTCAGCAGCTCCTCTGCTAGCTTCTCTCAGGTCTGGGCTATCATCCTCTTAAACACCTACTCCCCTCAGAAATTTCCCACCAGTGAGGACACTGCCACCAACCAGACACCCCAAGAGAAGACACCTTGTGCCCCTCTGTCTTACTTCCCCTACTGTGTGCACCCTTTGGAGTCTGACTCCTAGAGAACTGTAGAATCTGCCTACACCTCCCCTTCTTCACTGCCACTCTCCTCAGACCACCAAGCACCCCTCCCCAGATACTCAACAGTCCCCTTACTGCTCTGGCCTGAGTATGACAAAGTGATCAGTACTTGTAACTCTACAAACAGACTGGCCTTGGACAGGATACTTAATTTCTGTCTTAGCTTCCTCATCTGCAAAACAAATGAATATAATATTAGCACTTAAGTCATTAGGTTGTTGCAAGCAGTCAGTGAGCTAATAAGTAAAGCTCAAGGATGGAAGTCTTGTTTAGCCAGCCTGTGCCCCACCCCGAGACCTCAGCCTGACTACCCTACTTTGCCACAAATGACTCCCCTTACTCTTGTGTTCAAACCCAAACACCTGGGTCTGGCCTCACAGGAAACCCAAATCCAGCTCTGCTGATCTCTTCAGCCCCATCTTGCATGATTCCCTCCTTTCTTCCCACTCTCCTCACACTTTCACCCCAGCATCTGAAATGCAGCTTCTTGAATGTTCTTTCAACCCTGTGCCTTTGTACCTGTTATTCCTGCTGCTTGGACTGCTTTTCTCTCATTTGTTCACCAAACGCCTACTTAGAGTTAACCTGAATCCCCATCACTCCCGCATGGGGTCTTCCTATACCCCAGGGCCCCATCACTTCTCCCCCCAAAGCTTGGGCTCCTCCCAAGCAGGGGCTGTGTCCCAGGCCTCTGGGATTTTAGTGCTCAGCACAAGGCCCTGTAAAAAGAGGCCATTCTTGGGATATTTGAGAAGAGGCTGTAGTGAACACCACCAAATTGGGTGTCAGGACACTAGGAGTCCATTCCCGACTGTTGCATGACCAGGCCCTGCCCCTACCTGGGCTTCAGTTTCTCTGTTTTGCAATAACCTCTATATGGCCCGGTCCCTGCATACAAATTCCAATCCCAGGGAAGGACGGGTGTGGGAGGCCATCAGTTGCTGCCCTACCCTTGACGGGCACACGCCCCTCCTCCAGATCATAGCCTTTGACGAGCTGCGGACCGACTTCAAGAACCCCATCGACCAGGGGAACCCAGCGCGGGCAGTAAGTGATACATGTGCTGTGCCGAGGTGTGTCCGTCCATCTGTCTTTCCATTTGTCGCGGGTGGCGCAGGGGTGGGAGTGGGGTCGGGGAGGTACGGTGGGGGGGCCAGCGGCCATACCCCTTTCTCGCTGTCCCCGCCCCCAGCAAACACCTGGAGCGGGCTTCGGGCTCGGGTTCCTCCTGGCGGGGCAGCAGTTGCCAGGCTCTGGGCTGTTGCCGTGGCGACGCGGGTGAAGGCCCCTGCAGGCCCCTGCATGGTTACTGTCGCCATGGGGACCGCGCGGCTGCTTCCCTGCGGTGCCGGGGATGCAGTAGAGACTGCTCTGCCGCCTTCTGGTGGCCGCGTGCGGAATGGGAGGGAGGCACCCAGATCCTGCTCCCCATCGAGGCCTTTTCCTTCCTCCACAGCGCGAGCGTTTAAAAAACATCGAACGCATCTGCTGCCTCCTGAGGAAGGTCAGTGTCACAGATGTGGCAGAAGGCTCCCAGTGCAGCACTGCCCGAGGCTGTGGCCCAGAGCCAGGCCCTCCTCTTTGGGCCTATTTGATTCACTTTATCACCTGAGGGGGTGTGGGAGGCCAGAGGCCTTTTATCCCTGAATTCTTGGTGGGTTGGTACCTCCCAGACCCCAACTCCCATCCGCCTTGAAGCTTGGATCTGCCCTGGCACCAGACCACTGACTTCTCACTCTCACTCCCCAGCTGGTGGTCCCAGAATACTCCATCCATGGCCTCTTCTGTCTGATGTTTCTGTGTGCAGCAGAGTGGGTGACCCTGGGCCTCAACATCCCCCTCCTCTTCTACCACCTCTGGAGGTGAGGGCAGCAGCTGCCTGGGGGAGACTGAGATGGGGGCTGAGGGCTGGGTGCAGGTAATCAGGCCTCTTCCGGTCCCAGGTATTTCCACCGTCCTGCGGATGGCTCTGAGGTCATGTATGATGCGGTCTCCATCATGAATGCTGACATCCTCAACTACTGCCAGAAGGAGTCCTGGTGCAAACTTGCCTTCTACCTGCTCTCCTTCTTCTATTACCTGTACAGGTGAGGCCCTGCCCATGGCAGTCAGAATTTAGGGAATAGATCTTCTAGGGATCATGCTTCCAATCCTAAAATCCTGCCCTTTGAACTTGAGGACTGAGGGCAAACCCAGGGTGTGACTGGGTGGGTGGCTGGATTTGCTCAGGACGCAGGCTCACTGCCTTATCTTCCCACAGTATGGTTTATACGCTGGTGAGTTTCTAAGGGGGAAGCCGGCCAGGGAGCGAGCCCAGAATGGACCGGACGCCTGTGCACCCCCCCAGCCCTGCCTCTTGGCTGCAGAGGCCTCAGCCCTGGGGAGGGAGGGGGCACTGGTGCCCCCAGCCTCTCCACTCCCCAAACTGCTGCTGCGGGGACCCCCGCCTTCAGAGCCCTCCCCCTTGGTCTAGGGCCAGGCAGAGCTCTAAACAGGGGCAGGGGCTCCTCTGCCAGCCTGTAGTCAGGCATGGCAGTCAGTCCTGGAAAGGGTGGGACTTCTGGCCTGGTCCATTTCGGGGAAAACTTGGGCCCTGCCACCAGGTAGAGCTTGACCCTGGAAATTCTGGGCTGCCCCCCTCCACCCTTACCCTGAGGCTCCCCCTGCAGGTGGGGGCACCCGCACCGGGAATGAGCAGGCTCAGCAGGGGGGCAGCCCATTCCTACTCTGCCCTCCCTCATCCCCAGGCTCCCTCTCCAGCCCTGTCTCCACTTGCCGACCCCAGCCCACCCTGTCTCTTGAACCTATTTTCTATGTTGCCTGGAGGAGTCCGGCACCCCCTCCCCGGCCATTTGTGACAAACTATGAATAAACTACTGCAAACACATGGGCCCTAGTCTGCTCCTGAAAGGCCTGAAGAAGAGATGGGGTGAGATGGTGGGCTGTGGACTGGGTACCCCAGAGCAAATTCCCCAGCACAGCTAATCTTGCCCCACTAGCCTCAGGCCCCACTGGCCCACTCTCAGATGGATCAGAGGCCTTCCAGGCTTTCTGGACAGCTGCCCCTTCCATCCTCACTTTTCCACTTGTGTATACTGAAACCCTTCCATCTGCCTTTCATGGCAGTGCCAAGGCCACAACCTCTAGGATGCCCTCGCTGGGTCCACCTTCTTCCTAAACAGCCCTAAGTTGGGTCCCCTGGACAATGCAGAGGCCCAGAGGTTGTAGCTTTCCCTCAGGCCCAGAAATGAGGATCACACCAAGTCAAGGAAACCAAATTTTCAATATGTGAAAAAACCAGTGCCATCTGGGGCTAGGAGTCATCGGACCAGGTGGAAGGTCAACCAGTATATGATGAGGGGCTGGAAGGCTGCAGCTCCTAGAGTCAGGTAGAGCTGGACACGCTGCCGAGGGGCTGGACCCCCCACACTGTCAGGGCCCAGAACTGCTGTTCGCAAAGAGCGCACCTGAAAGAAAGGAGTGCTGAGAATGGGTCAGGAGGGGAAGCTTGTCCCCAGCTCTGACCCAGGTGAGGAGGCAAAAGGGGCAGCCCAGACTCACGATGAAGTACATGAGTGCAGATGAGGTCCAGGCCAGTGCCACGTAGTAGCCGTCACTGCCAAACACCAGCCCTGTGAGCACACTGAGGATCATCCTAGTGGAGGCAGGCAGCAGGTGACCGCAGGGTCCAGGCCTGAGATTGACCCTGCCCACCAAGTTCCTGGGCCCACCCTAGACCCTGCCCACCACCATGGCCCTTTATTCCCAAGCTGTCCCCACAGGGACCCAGAACCAAAATGGATTTGTAAGATCCAAGACCTGGATATGAAACCCCTTTTCTTGAATCCCACATATCTTAAAGGTCACTCAGTTCCTGGGAAGACTGCTGGAAATAACAGTCTCTCTAACAGAGTGGAGCTAGTGGCTAAGATAGAGGAAGGACATGACAGGGCCATACTTCAGGGCTATAGCTATATAGACCTAGAACCCACGTCTGTAGGCCCCTCCTCCAAGCCCCCTCCACCCAAACACCTCTCCACCAGCCCAAAGATGCTCACCCCACGTATTTGTAGCCGCTGTAGGCCAGCAGGTGGAAGGTGCTCAGGTCACTGCGTACGGTGGCCAGGTAAAGGCCCAGGAGCAGAGCCAGCACCTCCATAACCACCCACACCAGTGCTGTGCTTGCACATAGGCCCAGCACCTCTGGAGAGAACCTGTAGCCATGGGAGGGGACAGGTCAGAACCAGTCATCCTGTGGCAGGTGTAAGGATGAGATGAGAGGCTGGGGCAGTAAAGTGTGGGCTGAGACATGGTGCTCGTATCTGGCACAAGTCCTCTAGGGAGGTGGGGAGATGAACCAGGAAGGAGAAAAGAGGGGTTGGCACAGACCTTTTCTGAATTCCCAGTGCCATCCCAGCCAGCAGCACGTAGGTGATGAAGGCCATCGCTGCCAAGAGTCAGAGGGTGGTGGTCAACCTGGGTTCCTCATCCACAGCATCCTTGCTAGGCATTCAAGGCCACTGACATTCCAAGTGCCTCCATATTTTCCCCTATCTACATATCCCAACATGGTCCAACCTCCACATTTGGTTCCTCAATACCCTGCATAGGATTTCCCTTCTCCAACCAGTCCTCTCCCTGAATAAATGCCAGAACCACAAATCACCTTCCCCTCCCCTGTCCCCATGCTAGGAAGCTTGTCATGAGTTTCCTGATGTGTCTCAGAAACCACATCATGGTCTAGGCACAGTGGCACACGCCTGTAATCCCAACAACTGAGGGCCCTAACATAGGAGGAGCACAAGTTTGAGGCCAACCTCAGCAACTTAGCAAAACCCTGTCTCAAAAAGGGCCGGGGATGTAGCTCACTGGTAAACCACCCCTGGGTTCAATCCCCAGTACCCACCCCCAAAACACATCATGAGCCAAGATCATAGTACATCCCAGATAAGATGAGCTTGATTTTTTGCAAGGCTATTAGGGTTAAAATACAGGTTCAGTGGGCAACCCAGGCTGTCCCTAGAGTCCAGGGCCACAGGGATGACCACATCTCAGCCACTGGATGAGCTCTGGCCACCCTCACAACACAGAGAACTCCAAGTTTAACCCTGAGCAGTTTTCACAAGAGCTCAGTGCCAGTGGGGGCTGGGGTTCAGTAGCAATTTAAACCTCATCATTCCTGTCCTCTGTCTCCTATGAGGCAGCAGACTGATGTGCCTCCCAGAAGGCAGTGTCTGGTGTTAGGAACTCAACTCTGCCACCTATAGCTGTGTGGTCTCAAGATACTGAAGTCCCTCTGAGCCTTGGCTTCAATGTGTAACTTGGGGATGCCAGTGCCAGCCTTACACAGTGGCTTTGAGAGGTACATAGAATGAAGTATGGAAGGACATTTGTCCTTCTTGGAGCACCTGGGTGGAGTGCCCTCCCTAGCAGCTTCTCTGGGGACTGACCCCTCTGGAGACATCCTTCTCAGTGTGTCCACTCTGGACCTGGTCCTCTACAGTTAGCAGAGTGGAGAAGTCAGCAGCATAGCTGGCCAGCCACGGCACAGTATGTGTGTCATGTGGATAGGCAGTTGTAGGGACCCAAAAGGGAGCAATTGTTCAAGGGTTAAGGCGGGCTTCCTGGAGGAGGGAAAGCTGGAATAGGCCTTGGAAGACAAGTACTAATGATGATAACGGCTAGCATTTCCTGTGGGCTCGTATGTGCCAGGGGAGATGTTGAACACACATCACTTCTCTGAATTTCCACAACAATCCTTTGAGGTAGGGGCTACTACTATTGTTGCTTTACTAAGGAGTGCAAGAACCAGGCTAAAGTCCATAGCTGGAAATGGCAGGGCAAAGCCCAAGGTGCCAAGCTAATAAAGGACATGGTCCAGATTAAGAGGCAGAAAGTGCTGTGGGGACACTGAAGGCATATTCAGGAAGTTTCTTACTAGTTACTTCACCCCATCTACCTAGGTTCTAGCAACCACAACACAAAAAGCACCAGAAGCAGACATTGGATCAAGTTAAGACTCTCTTCCTGCTCATGCCACAAGGCACTGTGTCTTCCAATCCAGATCAGAGACTCACTAGGGATGTAGAGGTCAGGAGCATTGAGGTCTTGCCGTGGGGGCAGAGGCACATCACGACTGTACTGCACTTCCCAGTTCTGGCAGTGGTGGCAGCAGCCAGGTCAGAAGCAGAAGAGAAAAGAGAGAAGGGAGTTGAGGTCTGGCCAACAGAAGGGGGGGGGGGTTCAGCCCATTTACCTGGTAGGAAGCTCACCTGGTGTGTGTAGGGGAAGACCAGCAGCCCTAGCTTCTTGGCCACATAGGCTGTATCCACAGCAAAAAAATACTTGAGTTTGTTCACAGACACAAAACGGTGTAGCTGGGAGGGAAGAGAGGAGGCTGTGGGGGAGCCACATCCAGAGCCTGAGGGTACTCCTGTGTGCTCCTTCCCTGAGGGCCACTATGAAGATCAGGTGAAATCCCAGCCCTAGCCAGAAATCCTGCCACCCCTTTCCCTGGGGGCAGACCACACCTCCTTGTGCACTATGTCCTTTCCATGAGATGCGATGGAGCTGCCATAGGCCATAGCCACGTTGGCCATTGGATCCCCAAGCAAGTGGTTGACATTGAAGGCCACCTCGGCTCCTGGGGCTGGGTATCCCCCAGGCTGGCTGGAATAACCACCGCTTGTATCATCAAAGAGGGGAGGGGAATCCGGAGCTGCCCGGGCCCTGTGCTTGGAACCTGTGAATTTGGAAGTACTAGAGTGGGTGAAAGGAATACCAAACCACAGCCCAAAACCCTGCCCTTTCCTTTGGCTGAGCAGCCCCATGTTGAACCTGGGTGCACCAGGCAATCAGTGAAGGAAAATCAAGCTGTGTGAAGGGTAGGTAATTCAGAAACAACTTTGATGAGGAATCCTTTGCAGAAAATCTTTTACTAAGCATAGGCAAAGGAAGAGAGCCTGGAAGTAGCTGTCCACCTGGGGTTTCTGAGCTCCCAACCCAGTCATGGAAAGTGAGCAGAAGTTGCTAGGAGAAGATAACTGGAAAGATATCCCTGCAAGAACAAGGGTAGGAAAAACAACAGCTGGCTATCGAGAGGCACTGAGCGGTGATCATGACATGGAAAAGGAAGTTTCGGAGAACCCCGGGTTTGACATGGAGATCCAAGCTATTGGGTAGAAAGGACGAAGTCCGGGACGCCTTGCAGTCTTGCAGGACAGAAACCCAAGTGACATTCCCTGCCCTGGGCAGCGGGAACGGCCGCCCCTCTCCCTCAGGGTGAGCGGGCCGCGCCACTGATTTTCCTCCAGTCGGCCAGGCCGCGCCCCGCCCGTCCCACACCTCACGCACCGTGGGCTCCGTAGCCCGAGTGATAAGCCATTGCTGCGACGCTCTCTCTCCCTGAGGGACGGTTGCGCTGCCTCGTGGGTACGATTACTAATAGGGCCGCTGCTTCTCTCCCCGGGCACCGACTGAGGTTACCCAGCGGCCCGACACGTCCAGGAGTTGACCGATTGCGGTCGCCATGTCCGTAGCGTCATGCCATGCCTCCTGCCATTGGCTCTTAGGCGGCTCCGATTCTCCTCTCCCTTCTCTCAATTGGCTACCTGAGAGCCTTAGCTAAAGCAGATTCGGCTGTAGCCAACTTCCGGGCGAGGGATAGGCGGAGCGATTAGAGACGCTCTTAGATTGGATAGTGGGCTTGCTAATTCGAGGCGGGAACAGCCAATAAGTGGAAGGGTGTTGTGAATTATTTCCGCGTCTGCGCAGTGGAGCACTTGACCCTCGCTCTGCCACGACTGCACCAGGAGCAAGACTTAGCAGGAGACTGGCGGCTGAAGTCAGAGAACGAAGCTTCATTAGTGGGACGTATTCCAGGAAGGAATAGGGTAGTCGCATTCTGACCAATCCCCGTCCCTGGGGACGCCTGCTCCTCCCTCTCCCCGCTTGATTTCCTTCTTGTCCTTCATATTTCATCCAATTTTGGAGCGGTACACCAGCCGACCGAGCGGTGTTGGTTGGAGGCGGGGCCTGGCAGTGATTGAGAGGCTGACAGCCCGAGTTCTGACTCCTCCCGCCTCCCTCTCCTCCTTTCGGTGAGGGTGCTGTCCACCCCGACCGGTGCTGAAAATGCTCTCCGGCTCCACCGCCATCATGCAGACCTGCCCGCAAGGGCCTCTGCTGGGAAGACTTGAGATTTGAATCCATACGCTGCGTGTGCATATCTAAAAACCCAGAATATCTGAAGTCCCAGAAGTTGGGTAGTATAGGTGGAGCAGGATCCTGCACTGGGCCTGTCCCATCGACTCTCCAGTGGTCCAGCCGATTTTTGATCTGTTATCTCCTGAAACTGCAGCTGAAACTCCTGAGCCATTGTTTGTCCTTTATTTTCAAAGTGAGGCCCCCAAACCTCTCTTGTCCCAGGGGATCCTTTCTGTTCACTCAGGTTCAAATCACTCCCACTTTGCCTAGAGACAATCTTCAAACACCTCCCTGTCTTCAGGCATTCCTTTCTAGAGAATATGATCAGGCTCTGAGACCTGCCTTTAATTAGCTTCCTAGTGTCCATTACACCAGGTAACCTTCCTGCTCCCCAGATTCAACCCACAGTGATCCAACCACTGTGCCTTTGACTAGAGGTCCCCTCCACTTGGGATGCCCTTCCCCCTCATATCCACTTGTTCAAAGCCTTTAAGAATCAACTCAGCTTTGCCTCAGAGAAACAAAGAGGACAGAGGCCTGACCTGGTATGGGTTGGAGGCCAGCGCCCGTGATGTAAGTGCCCTCTAGATTGCATTCAGTTTGCCCTGGATGTAGGTGCTGTGAGGACAGAGCCTTTTTCACTGTCCACTCCTACAGTTGTCTCCCCAGGTCCAGTGCCAAGCATGGTAGTTTCATATAGAAGACACCCAATAAACATCTGTGCACCATAAATAAATCATAAATAAATGGATGAAATAAATAAGTAAATGGATGTAACCCTAGACCTATTCTTTCTCTCCGGCCCCCCCCCACACACACATTCTCTCTGTTATGTCATCTTTAAATGATTATCCCTTTGCTTAAACATACACCCCAAAATAACTCACCCAGTATTGCAGCTTCCTATATTCCATCCACTGATTGTAAGCTTGGGGTTAAGGCCCAGACCAAAGCACAGTGTGAGGATGTGAGGCTGTTAGGGGCCAAGGAGCAGCACTGGGGCCTCATGTAGGAGGCCCACCAAGGGCAAACCCCACTGCCCCACATGGCTTGATGAATGCTTGTGAATTTACTCCAGCATTTTTCCACCCCCATTTCTCAGATGGAAAAATTGAGTTTGGGGGTAAAGTATGCTAGCCTAAGGTCTTGCAGCCTAAGGTCCCCAATATCCTAATCCCCAGCTCACCTGCTGTAAGAGGAGCCTAGCGCCACTGCCCAGTGGATGAGGCTCATAAGCCTTTCTGGATGGTAAATGCCCCAACAAATGAGGCTTCCAGGGTGAGTTCTGGGTGGGCTTAGCTCTAGGCTTACCCCTTAGAGATGGGACGCATCGGGCACCCACACATCTTCAAGACTCACCTTCTTGGTTTTACAGCCCTGGGCAACTCAGGAGTCCTAGAGCAAGGACTTGCTCAAGGTCGCAAGAGCGAGAGCGACCAGAGAAATTCCCAGGCATCCGGCAGCCCAGACGGCTTCTGGGGGGCTGGGGAGAGCCCGC